TCTGCCCAGCCACGTACCCTCCGACTTAAACTAACACCCTTTTTATCCCCCCCCACCCCAAAGGACACCCACAACCCCACCGGCTCAAGCAGCTCACAGCAAGGCAACGCAACAATTTTTAGCGTTTTTGTTTTTTTTGGGGGGGAGAGGGGTGTTTTCTCTAAACATTCTTGGAGTTAAAAGCAACAAAGAAAAAACATGAATACGTATAAACTGAACTGACCTACAGCAAAAGCAACAAAAAACAAAAACACTCACTTCTGGGCATAGCTGCTTTGTTAAGCATAAATAAAAACAGAAATTATATTAGATGGTTGGAAAAGATATAGACAGTAATTGTTAAACTAATTACTAGCAGTAAAGCAGGGCTGGCCGTCATTACCTCCACAGATACCGACTGCAGGGGCACAAAGCAGTTCGTTAATGTGCAGTTAATTACAGAAGGTAGTTTTCTGCCTTAATATTTATGAGGTTTTTTCCTTTTTTTTTTTTCTTTTTTTTTTGGGGGGGGGACATTTTCCGAAAGGCAGCAGGAACTGTCTGCAAGAGCTGGGCAATTCCAAAGGCAGCACTGATTTAAAATGCTTCTCGCACCTCTCCGGCAAGCAACCCCCGCCCTGCCCGGAGCAGCCGGTGGCCGTTACCTCCTCCAGTCTGTCCAGGGCATCGTTGAGCTTCCGCTGCCGCTCCAGCGCCAGCAGCCAGACCTGCTGCCAGCGGGCCGAGAGCTGGTTGATCCGGGGGTTCTTTGTTTCCGACTGGGAGATAATGGGCATGCTGGGGGGGGTGGTCTGACTCAAGGATTTTCCTGGAAAAAGAGAGAAAAGGAATTGTTCGAGGTGGTGCTGATGGGTTCAGCAAGTCTCGAGCGGTCCAGGAAAGCACAGCAATGAAATACATTTTATTTTTCAAATGGAAAACCTCCCACGGAGAGCAGCCGGCGAGGCCGAAGGGACGCAGTGTCCCCGGGCAGGAGGACGGGGTGACGGCTAGCTCTACACCCAACCCCCCCTTTGCACTCGGGAATTCACAACAGACCCTGGCTTCAGGAAACGCTTCAGGAAACATTAAAAAAACCCCCAAAAAACCCCAAAACCTCATCACAAAGCAACTGCGGAGAGAAAGAGAAGAGCAGGGACAGCAGGAGCTTCCCCAGGCGCAGCACACCCCGGCACGAGCATTTGGGCAAATGCCACCTGGATTTTCCCCTCCTGACAAGCCTTCCTGGTGGCTGTCAATGCAGGATGCTTTGTTAATTGATAATCAGAGTTAATTAGTTTCCTACGAGCTTCATTTCCTCCCATCGTAGCGCGTTTCACCAAAAGCCGCGTCCTGAGCGGCGACATACTGTTGCTGCGGGACTTCTCGATGAAGGGCCCGTGGGGGGGCTCAGTAGCTTTCCTCTTGTACGTCTTCGTGACCCGGTCCACGTCTGGCTGTTTCCGCGTCATCTCCTCCATAAACGACTGTCAAAATACAGAAGGGACGAGAGAACCTTTGCAGTTGCAAGAAGTTTTCGGTCTTCTCTTGCTCCAGACCCTCACCGGGACATGCCAAGCCCGTAGAGGAGATGGGAGCATTAAGCAACGGGGGCTTGTGGTCAAGCTACCGCGTGGCTCTGGCTTGGATCTGCACAGACTGGGGCTCATCCCCAGGCTGGCTTTGCGCCCAGGTGACAGCTCCGGTTGGGTCACACACAGTTTTAATAGTGTGTGAGAATTCCAAGAAAAGTCAATGCCTCCTGCATGGAGGAGCAGGAAAAAAAAACCCGACCCAACCCACCGCCCTCCCGAGTGCCTGCCGTGGTCGGCACTGGGCTCACCTGGTGTTCGGAGATGAGGGCTTTGACCTGATCGATGTTTTGTGGCATGGGCTCCTGGTCCCGCTGGATCAGGGTTGTCTCAGCCCATTGGATCCAAGCCAGGAGCTCTTCCAGAAGCTCCGCGTTCGCCACCAGCTCGGAAAGCGCGGACTCCAGTCTCTGCTGGTGCTGCTTCGCCCACGTCAGAACCTGTTGGAAACGCAGGGATGACCATTGGCCCCGGGTGGGAAACCAGGGGCGGGAGCCAACACCACACGGCCATCGCTGGTGCTGGCGTCCACCGCCGCCTCTCCCCGCCGGCCTGGAGCAAAGCCCGGTGGACTCACCTCCTCGAACCTGGCTCGGATGATGGTGATCCAGTGTTTGATTGTGGTGATGCAGTCGGGATGGCAGGCGGCCAGGATGACCTCCCCCATGCCCACCGCCGCGTTCACATCCGCTCTCTTCTCCTCCACTTTCTTCATGAACTCCTGAAAGGCCCAAAATGAAGTATTTTGCAGTACCGTGCCCCATTAATTTTGCTCGGCTTGTGTTTCGGAGCTCCCCGCTACCTTGTGCGCGTCGATGAGGGACTGCAACGCCTCTGCGTCATCGGGAAGCGCTCCCCGAAAGCGCAGGGACTGCTCTGCCTCCGAGAGCCACTCCAGCAGCATGTGCACGGCCGTCCTGAACTCCTCTGCCTGTGGTGACAAAAGCACAGGCGTCAGCCTTCCTCCTCCCGAAAAGGGTCGCTCAACTCACTGCTGGGAGCTGGAGAGACAAGGGGCTGAAAGGGACTTGAAAAAGAAATTAAAAAAGGGGAAAAAAAGCCCTGTCTGCTGGCCTGGGTTTGTGCAGCACCAGCAGCAGGTCCCGCAGCAGCCGGGCACCTCCCGCCCCTTGGCCTCAGCCGCACCGAGGAACTAAGGGTTTTTAAAACCAGCACAACTACCTGCATTCTGACCCGTTTGGTACCTGGGTAGTTTACGCTGTAAAATGCCTACTTGAGAGAAATCCTACTCAAGAGCCTTTTGCTCGTTTTTGTTTAGCTTCAACCTAGATCTCTCTTGCTCTGGGCATCAGCAAACACCAGGCTGGACGGTCTCTGATCACCGTTCGGTTCCTGCCGTGAACAGCGAGATCTTTTCATCCTCTCTTTTCAAACCAGCCTTTATCATCCCTTCTTTGGGGAAAAGAGTAAGTAAACAACTGACACCAACCCACTGCTCTGCGGTTCTCACCGGTACCTGCCCAGGGCTGGGGTGTCCCGCTCGGCCAGATCAGCCGCTGGACCAAACCTCTTCTCCGAGGCTTGTGTTGACCTCCCGGCACAAACCTGCAGCCCAGGCAAAGCTCCCAGCACCATTCCCACCCGTAGCCGTCTGCTCACCTGCTTCAAGGCCTGTTCCAGGCGGGTTTGTTTGGACACAGACAGCTTGCACACCGTGTCCCACCGGTTGCTCAGCTCCTGCAGCTGCACCTTCACCCAGGTCGTGTCGTCCCGGCTGTTCTCGATGAGCTCCCGGCCGGAGCGCTTGAGCACCTGGACCGTCCCCGTGCGCTTCCCCAGCTCCTTCTGGAAGACCTGGATGGAGAAAGGGCAGAAGCCGAGCGGGGCCAGTCAGTCCCAGCGGGTTGTTGCACTTGGGGAATAAAACAGGGAGCACACGTGAAATAGTTTGTAACATGGGATTTGCCCCCACATCAGGGACCCACCACAAGCTGGTGTGATGGGAGGGCGGGCAGGCAGGCAGCTCGACAGCGCTCGACGCGACTCCCGAGCGCGTTTCGGTGTAAGTACGTGGGCAGGAGCCCCGACTTTCCACCCCGGCAGCAGCAGTCGTGAGCCGGAGCAGGCAAGCTCTAGCCCAGGAGCTCTGGCTGCAACGCAACGGCTGCCTTGAATGGAAGCCCAAGTCCTGCCCGGGGATCTCAGCGTACGATCTAATCCAAGCCCAGGAGCGCCGGTCTCCACGACACGCTGGAGAGTACTGCCAAGACCACAGTTTACAGAGGACTAAAAATTCAGCCACCTTTTCAAAACTAAACCCTCAACAGATCTGCCTGATAGCATCTCAGAACAGAGCTCCAGCTCCTGTAACCTTCCCAGTCACTTACAAGTTTCTTCCCACTTGTTTGCCCCGTTTTTGCTCTCCTTGTCCACCACAGCGACGCAAAGCAGCGAGACACGCAGCTCTGCAGGGAGGCACCTCCATTCTTTGGCTCTTGGGGAAGACGAGGCCCAGAGAAGAGCTGGAAAAGGCACTCTTACCTTGTGAGCATCCATCAGGTTCATGACCAGATCCAGGTCACCGTGGACAGGCTGGTCTTCAGCTAACTGGGGTTCCACCTTGTAGAGCCAGTCCACCAAGGCCTGCAGCGCATCCATGAACTGGCCAGAGAACAAGAGGGCTTCTTCCAGCTTGTGCTGCCTGAAAAACAAACGTCCCCGTGAACTTCCAAAGTCACCTCCTTTGTCATGTCCCAGTCACCACCTCCAACCACCCATGAAATTGCCTTCCCTCCTCCGCTCTCCACTTTGGCAAGTCCTTGGCAAACGAGCGCTGTTGGTACAACGCTGGGGCTGGACTTACCTTTCCACTGATTTGCCGCACACTGTGTCCCACTTATCCCGGACTTCTCCCAGTAAATTATCCAGCTTTTGAGTGTCATCTGGAAGCAAGGCTTTTTCCTTGAGGGCTCTGCCTGTCCTGATGGTGGTGTCGTAGACGGGCTGCTTCCCACCCAGCGTCTTCTGGAACTCCTGGGAACCAGAGAGAAAACCAAACTGTTTCAGAAAGGCTGGCCATGGCTTTCTGAAGATTCATGGTGCTCGTGAAGACCTCCAGCTGAACGTTTTCCATGGCAGCGGTAAGCGTGGACGTGCCTTTCCGCTGTCCTGACGGCAGAGGGGATGCTGCCCTGCACCCCCTCCCGACAAAGCACCCTTCCACCCAGCGTCCAGCACTGGTCTCAGTTTGGCCAAAACTCTACCTTGTGTTTGGCGAAAACTCTACCTTGTGTTTGGAGAGCTGGAGCTTGATTTTGTCGGGATCATTGGAAATCTCCAGCTCTGAGTCCAGGTGATTCTCTGCATCCTCCAGCCAATCAATCAGTTTCTTCCAAGCTTCGTGGAACTGCAAAGAAACAGGAGCAAGTGTGAAACTTAACACTGGTGGTGTCCCCAGTCCCCTTCTGGTCTTGGGACCTCCTGGTCCCCGAGGTTGGCCATACTTTGGGGTCTGTTGCACCCTTCCCACGTTTCTCACCTGCTTGGCTCTCTTCCTGGCATCATCAAGAGCCCGTCCCCGCTCCACCGAGCGCTGGACAACCTTCTCCCAGCGGGACTGGACGCTCACCAGCAGGTTCTTAATCAACACCACGTCCTGCTTTTGACTGAGAAACTTCAGCTGGTTCCCAGTTTGATCCAGCTCGATGATCCGGTCCCGATGAGCATTCACCTCGTTGGCGAACACCTGCGAAAGGCAAAGATGTCCTCTTACCTGTCAGGGGAGCTGGACGTGCCTGCGAGCCGCCCACGGGCGCAGGGGAGGTGAGGGGCCACCCTTGCTCCCTCCGTCCCGGGGAGCCGCCGGGCGCTTGCGGCGCCGGTACCTTGTGCTCGTCGATCTGGGCCAGCACGGCGTTGAGGATGAGGCTGGCCGGGGGTGCGATGTTCAGGCTCTGCTCGGCCAGCGTGAGCCAGTTAATGAAGTCCTGGAGGGAATTCTGGAAGTCCGTGGCCAGGGCCAGCGCCTCCTCCAGCTTCGCCTGCCGTAGCGGGGAGGGAGGGAGAAAGGGAAAGGGGAAAAAAAAACCCAAACACAACATGGAGGGGGAGAGCTCACGATCTGCCGTTTCGCAGACAGAGGCAGCCTTTGTGTCCCTGCAAAACGCCCCTTCTAACAGGAACCTCGTCGCCGCGGCCCGGGAACGCCACTTGTTTACCAAGGGGAAAGGGTTTCAGTGGAAGCCGCCGCTCGCTTTCAAAACAGGAATCGCCCGTGAAAGGGGAGACCTTCATCGGCACACGAGCAGCCGCGTCACCCTCAGCTCCCCGAGAAAGGCACCGCCGTGGGGAGAGCGGCTCGGTAAGCGAGGTGGATGGTGTTTTGATGGTAACAGCTGCAGCACCGCAAATTTATTCTGGGCTGAGGCCACCGCGTCCCTTGTTTTATCTCATCACCGGCCAGAAGCCTAGGACGGAGTCAGCTCGGAGGAGGACTTGGCCTGCTGTCTTGCAGAGGGCCAACAAAGCCTGCCTTTCAGAGCCACGGGAGGTTTCTTCCCACCTCTCCTCTAAATTAACCCAAAACGCAATTTTACCCTCATTTTCTGTGTGATTTAACCAACTCTGATGACCGTCTAGAAAAAAAAACAAACCCACAACAGCTTGACGCTCAGACAGCGCCATCTGAAAGACAAATTCTACCTGCACAACCAAGAGAGAGGTTGGGTGAAAAAAAAACCCCCAAACCCAACCAACCCCCAGCCCTCCTCTCCAGCCCTGACCGGCTCCAGCCCTCCCGGAACGCAGAGCAGCAACGCAGGGAGCAACTGCTGCCAGACCAGCCCGTGGCCAAGGGTGGACGCCAACGCTACCTTTCTCTCCTCCATCTTGGTGCTGACCAGGCACCATTTCTGCTCCAGCAGCGCTACGCTCTGCTCCGTCTTCGAGCCGGAGCCAGAGTCGTCGCGGTTCA